TTTAACTTTTTAATTCTCTCACTCACATGTATTAATTATATTTTCTTTTTATGTGATACATTTACTTAAAGTGAAATAATGGGTCAAAAAATAAATTATTAGAGATTAATAGTAATGATTGATGTATTGAACAAGCAATGCCAAATGGACTTGTTTCAAGTTATTTTATTGAGAAAGAAAGTTCTAATTATTTAGTAACAAGTTGAAATGGTGTTTCCTTTAGTAAATTATTATAGTACAAACCTTCTACTATTTTTTTTTTAAAAAAAAACCAAGAAATACGGTAATCAAACATCTAAGCTTACTCCTGGGTTTCATAAACTCTTTTATATAGTTTCATATGGTTTCATAATATGGTTCATAAATAAATTTGCTAACTTATCGAATCTTACTCCTTTAATTCTTTTCTTCTGCACATATTCCTCTTTCGTACTTGTAATGTAGTGTTGGATTAGTTTACCTTATACAATATATGTTAGCAGCTTTAAAACTTTTTTATTTCTCTAAAGGCAGCTTTTAAATATTGTAATTTTTTTTTCTGTTTTTTCCTTTTGAAAGAATATAGAATTTCATGCACTGAGAAGATTCATATTATAAGAATATGATATATCGTATACATTTTTCTTTGCCTATGTAAATTTAATTCATAATTTATATATATAAATTATAAAGGACACGTGCGAAGCAAATGCAATTTAACTAGTCCAAAAACTAACAGTTAACACTCTTTCATGTAACATCTACATGAGTAGACCGAAAAGTAATTTCTGTTCAAATTAAAATTTGACTTTAGTCTTAAAATTTGCATGTTATCTGATAGGAATGAGTCAAGCTGTAGCTTGACTTTGGTTTTAGCGAGATTTCTCCGATAGTTGCAGTTTGGGAATTATTAGTGAGATGACTCGACCTTTCTCACATCACATAACAGTCCATTATGAGGAATTTTTCGGTTCCATGAACTCTATGCATATGTACTTTCCAGACTATTTTTTAAGGAGATCTAAGCCAGACTTTCATATGTGCACGAGCAAAGTAAGAAGTTCAAGAAGAAACAAAAATTAAACTCGATGTCCTCACCACTTTTGCAAGAGAAAAGAACACCAAACAACAAGCCCTCTATGTCTTACTCAAAACTACTCAACAGTAATAAAATTTCTACGGAACCTTAACTCATTTTTTTTTGAACCTAAAACAGAAGTTTTGTTCTCTGATATATTGTATGTAACTCTTTAGTAAGACATTTTTCAACATCCTAAGGAATGGAGATGTCCAGTCCTGGGTAAACATTGGGGATGAACGAATCCTAGTTTAGAATCATTCACGAAGATCTTAACTAGGTTATGAATGCTCACAAAGGTCTAAAGACTCCTTTTGAACCAATCGCTATTCTTTATTCTAATTCTGATGTTATATCTCGTACCCCCTCTGGTGGATCTAGAGTGTATTCCATCTTTTCATCAATCCAGTGAACATCAGGGATACATTAAGAAAATCAAATACAACTACCGTTTCACCATACAATGATGATATATTACAAATCAGGCAACAGTGACTACGACATAACTTTCAGAGCTTTGGCTCGATGCCAGAAGAGTGACAATCACTGTGTCCATGCAACAAAACTTGATGTTGTGAGACGTGAAACAAAAGCATCTCATCTAGCATAAGTACTACATAACTCAGGAAGTAACTAAGTATATTCGAGTTAGGGGCTTCAAAGTTGTTCATTCAAGAGTGAACTAGCCATCATAATCACTAAGGCTTTAGGCTCAAAATTTACTACAAAAATGGTCACACGGCATGACCGAGAAGGAGAGCTGATGTCATTCAAGGGTTGAAAATGATTTATCTCTACAGCTTAAAGCTTAGCTATGCAAAGCTGCCAAAAAAGCAAGATCTTAACACCAGCTGGCAGAAAGCAAGATCACACAAAAGCATGGAAAAACCACATTTCTGATTTGTATAATCAAAAACTCAGCCTTGCAAAAACACTCAATATAATGTCAGTCAGATCATGCGATGCAGAGATGTGGATGGATGTGATTCGCGGGGGACTAAGAAGGAGAAGCAGTGATGACACGCAGAGAAGTAGATGGCAATATTTCCTGAGGGACAAAGAGGCAGAAGCAAAGAGATAATGGCCGCTAATCACCTCAAAGAAACAGAAACAGAAGATGACCAATCTTAGCAACATTTCACAGCAATCATAACGTAATCAACAACATTAGAATAACATCAACTTATTTTTAGTTTAAAGTATGAAATACACCTACAAAACTTCGTTAAGCTGAACAGAGCAGACCATGCACCGAGTGCCAAATAGTTCTTTTGCCATCTAAGTACTCAACACATAAAATTCACATTTTGACCAAGGAAGAAACAAGTAAAAAAAAGTGGTACATATTTCCTTTTTTATTTTCCCCAAATTTGCCAATTGTTATTGGGATGTTATACACCTCAAAATAGCAGAAATTCAATTAATTTCTTTCACATGACGTGTACATGAACTGAAAGACATTTTGTATCCAAATTAAAATTTGACTCTAGTCTTAAATTTGCGTGTATTGTGATAAGAAAGATTAAAGTTCACTTATTATTGGAACACAAAATGCCCTTCGATCAATTCACGTGAATAAGTTTGACCGTTTGTTTTTGGATGAAATCTCACAGAAAAATAAAAAGTATTACTTTGGAAGTTTCATTTTTCAGTACAAAAACTCCCCAACAATATAACAAACACAACCTTTTTTTTCTTTTCTATTTGTGAAACTCTCTGTGTCAGTCTTTTCTTTTTTCTTCTATTTCTTTTGATTATTTCTTTCTTTTTAATTTATTTTTTAGTTTTTATCTTCTTTTGATTGTGGCAGAAAATCAAATTTCACAAATTATACAACTATTGATGAAATTGAATTTTTTGGAAGATTCAAAGAGCAACGAATTGGAAAAAAATCAAAAGTATCTATGATACATATATCGTGCAACCACGTATCAATAGCATGGTAAAATTTTACCATGCTATTTATATAAAAAGGAATAATTTTTTGTTAATTGTATGTTTGCTAATAATTATAGTACCTTTTATTATCCGTCAAATGTTTATGTTTTATAGTTAGTCTAGTAAATTTCTTTCAAACAAAAGGATTAAGTCTCTTTCTTTCATGCTTATCATTCATTTGCCTTTTTTTTTAATGGGACTCAAAACGCACGAGTTGATTAATCACTATTAGGTAGAGCAGCAGGTGTGATTTGATTAATATTTTAAAATTGTTTCTTTACTATTTATAACATGTTAGAAATATTCCGTAATATGATAAAATAGTTTTTCCTTATCGATTTATCTGAAATTCCCTATTTGTATTCTCTAAGTTTTTTTAAATAATAATATTAAAGTGCATGTGCTTAACGCAACTAATTAACATATAAAATTAAGTTGGATTTGACATATCTACACTATTAAAAGAAAGAAAGAGAAGGGTAAGAAAAAGCAAAAAAAAAAAAAAGAAGAAAGAGAAGGGGAAAAAACCAAAAAAGAATGATTCAACTATGGGGTGAGAGAGGCTCGAACTCTCGACCTCAGGATAACTTACAGAAGCTATGAGACCTACGCGCTAGCCAACTGCGCCACCACCCCTCTGATGTGTTCTATTTTGTTTCAATTTTATAAAATCATACAAGCTGTCCGGCCTGATGAGTTTGACGTGAAGAATAATGCATCGATTTTGGCAATTGCTTTGTCTTCCTGCACTTGGGGTGTTCCATGCTCCGATCCTGTTTACTTCTTCCCGGAAAGAAAACCCTTTTTACTTTCTTTTCTGGTGTTCATCTACTTTCTCCTGAACCCATTTTCTGTATTAGCGTTTTCCAATTGATTCTCACTCTGAACTCAGTAGCTAGCTCAGTGGTCAAAAGGCTCAAATCCCTCACCTTCTACTTAGGTAACTTACTTTTGTTTGCTTATTGTTGCAGTACTTTTTGCTGATTCTAATACCTGAACGCTTGATGGAAGAAATGGGTTTTTATTTTCTTTGAAATATTGTTTTCTATTTATGCTTAATCGTTTAGATATGGAACTTGCCCTTTGTCCCGTATCACTCTTCGGTCTTGCTCTCACTTGTAATTTTGTTCATAATGTTCATTCAATACCTCAAGTTTGATGATTTTAAGAGATACCATATGATTTAATTGGATGTTGCTAATTTCGTGGCTGACCGATTAGGATATTTTGGTTATTATTTGGTAATGTAATTAATATTCGTGTTTGTTTCCTTAAATATAAAGCCCCGATTCCTACTGCATTACTGGTACATGGGTCTGTAGAAAGAAGGGGATTTTGTTTTGTCATTTTTGATCTTGTAACGGGTCAGTTGGATTTGGTTCCAAAATGACCTGTCATGAAACCTACATAAATTATTGATTTGTTTGATTATTCGGTTGAATTTTTTTTTTCAATTGGATTTACCCTGCCTAGTCTGTATTGCACGATATAATTTTAGTATCTCGGTATATTCTAGCGATAGTATTTTTCCTCTTTTGCTGCTAGTATCCCTTAAAATCCTTATGTTTTTGGTTGTTTTACATGTTTTGTGGATTGTAAGAAACTTCCAAAATAGAGGTTTTCGTGTAACTGTTGCCTTTAGTGTAACTACCTTGCTTACATGACAATGTGATCAATTGTTTTGCAAATCAATGGGATAATTAACTTTTCAGTTCTAATATTTTCTTATCTAGTGGAGTTTGAACATGTCTGCCTGTCTGAAACTTTGTAACATTGTTTATGTTGATGTGTTGCCAGACGCACCTTCTGTTATTGAAAGGTGGATAATCTGGTCATCAATTGGTTGGCACATCCGATGTTGCTCAGAATCCTCCAGAAGATGCTCAATTGAATTGTCAAATTTTAGTGTTTGGCCTTTGCCTCAAGTTTCTGATTCTTGTGGAACAGTGCATGAAAAGCCTTTGTTCCTGCAAAGAAGTTGATATTGTCCTCTCTTAAATGGAAAATGACCAGTGAAATGGAATATGGAAAGAACATTAGTGCATCTGTTGATAATAATGATGACCTTGAAGAGGTTATGGTGCGCCGTATGAAAAACCGAGAACGGCAGCGCAGATACAGAGCTCGGAAGCGTCTTGAAGCTGATAGGAAGAAGACAGATGATATCCAGCAATTTCCATATCCTGAACCAGTGAAGGCAATAACCTCCATGCCTCTGCCCAAAGTGATCAACCAGGCTGTATCTGGAAGGAATACAGAAAATGCCATGGTCCCTTTTTCTCCTGCTCTAGTTGAAATTCCTGTGAATGGCACTCCTGTCAATTTTGTGACTCGGGTCCACAGCCAGAGAGATTGGAAAAGAGACGCAAGAAGGGCACATCTGATAAAAGAAAAAGATGGAAGAGATAGTAGCCCTATCATTCAACTAGCAGCACCAGCTGGTGGTATTGCTCAATCTATTTCCTTTGGCACCAAAAATCAACCATCATACAATGGGTGTCTCGCAGGCAGTCCTGCCCTGGGGAATAACCAAGAACATACAGTTTCCCGCAGCCGAAGAAATTGGAAAGAGGAGGCACGAAATAAGAAAAGCTGAAAGATGCTAAATCACCGAGTTGTTTTGTTCAAATTAATTCTTGTTAATACTATAGGATCTTCACCGACGGAAGCGTTAATTTGCTGACGAGGTGAAAGAAGCTTTAATTTGCAGACGGAAAAACACTCTTTGGAGTTGTAGGTATGTTGTATTTTAGCAGTTACTTTTGATTGATTACTAATTTTCATTTTGGTAATGGTTTTGTGGATCCTGAGTTTCGAAATTCTGGTTCTCTTTCTCCTTTTAGTTTGTATCTTTTGAGAATAACAGCAGATGAATGAGTTTTAAGATAGCCTGAAGAATATTGCTCGGTAATCTAAATACAACAATCAGGAATCTTTCTTTACAATAAAGGAATATGACAATTGCTAGTATTTAGTTTCATACAATCCAATGTTCCTATACCAACATTGTGTGGCAATAGGCCATATCAACAAATACACCTACTATTTAATTCACCTTTCCTGATAGAGATACAAAGGAAGGTGAAAATATCAATCTGCAATAAGAGAAAAAGGGAAAAAAAACTGAACATATCAGGTGGTAGCTGGGGCTGTGATAGAAGGTAGGATAGATATTAGTATACAATTACAAGTATAGGCAGATCAACATGCTCTGACTTGGATAATTATTATGCTTAATATCCCTGCACTCCTCTTCTCAGATCCTCAAAGCTCCAATCCCTTCTCATCCCACTGCTCCTCACCAATCTCGGTGAGGCTGCATCAAACGCATGAGCAGGTGCGCTATGACGCGTCCTATAAGGATGATCCACCTTCGCCTTTGGGTCAGCCATCAGACTCGAACCTGTTCTCATTTTGCCAAAATTAGGTGCCTCGCCAATGTTCCCGGACCAGCTTCTCTCGATCCGGGTCAAAAACCTGTGAATATTAGCCTTCTCTTGGCACAATGTATCTCTCATCTCGGTGTCTGAATCTGTTCTCTTCATGCCCTTTAAGCAATTAAGACTCATGATTACAGAAATCAAAGAGATTAAACCAAACCCGAAGAGATCAAAAGATCAATTACGTGTGGTAATATGATCAAGATTCTGATGGCTAACTTGGAGGGAAAAGTGGGTATTTAGATTTCCATCTTTGTATTGTACAAGCTTTGATGAGTTCCAAATTTCTTTGAATGGGATATAATACAAGAGGAAATTGGAGTTTCTTCTTCTTTTTTTTTTTTTAATCTGTGGCCTTGAAAAGAAGAATACTAGGGGGATAAAGTCGATGCAGGTTTTGTTGTGCACCTTCCCATTTTGATCCAGGCAATTTTTTTGTTATTAATAACAGAAACTCTATGTGCTTTTCCCAAAGATTAGGTGCGTGAAAGAAGGTGAACCAGTGATGAATTTGCATCTTATTTCATGATTATGGATAATAGATAAACGAGAAGCTGGAATATGTTAGGGTCAACTCGTTCACAATAAATAAAATAGCAAGGTATTTACCCCCAAAAAAAAAAAAAAATAGCAAGGGAAAAAGCAATGGTCTATACTACACCAAAACTATATGCAAGGTTTACGTACAATTTTGGCCTGCGAAATGGAAAATGTAAAGTCGCAATGTGTTTGAACCCAACGAGTTTAACGTTATTGTTTTCCTAAACACTGGTCATTGGCCATATGGGCTCTAATAATTTTCGCTAATGACAAACTAATATGTTCGAGCATTCAGAAAAACATCGACCACATAATAATGAAGCAGTCAAGTGTAAAGAATAGGCACCAACAAACACATAGGTATACCCAATTTCTACATAATTAACACATAGTACTGACACTTTTTTACTGGAGTTTCAAAAAAAAAAAAAACACATAGTACTGATACTTTATGTTTGACCCAAAACACGAACAGAAACATCTGCCACAAGCCTCAATAAGACCAAAGAGAAAAAGGTTGCACTAGTAGGGTTAGCTTTATATCCTTGTGAAGTAGTAATAACTAAATTTTAATCACATAAAAGAAAAGAAAAATATTGTTACCGCGGTATATTCTTGAGACGGTGATTCATCCTGAAACAATGCACTTCTTTGGCCATCGAAACAGCAGGATTCCGTTTGGCCTCTCCATCTCTCAGAATCACTTTGTTCAAGTCAAACCCCCCAAAAAGTGACCGTGATAACTTTTGCAGTAATTTTATATGTTTCTTTAGGCCATCCACGAAATAGATGTCAATACACCAGATAATAAATCCCACCGTCCAAACTTTTGGACCTATAAGTAAAGCTCGTCTCCAAAGAAATAAGTGGGGGCAAAGTACACTGATCCATTGGGGCTTGGGAGCTTCAAGTTTCTCAGATTGTTCTTCACAGCTATTTCTTCATGTTTTGAGTTTCATTGTGGAGTAAATACAAATGCAAATAATGCCGAAAACCAACAGGAAATAACTATATTCTATGATGTACTATTGTGTTGAATTTGGATGATATTGATTAGACCATCAAAAAATTGGGTACAAATAAGAGATATAGAGGCCAGGAAAATATTCAGACAACATTTCAAGTTGGGAATGCCTCAGGAAACTCATCCGATGCGCAGACATTGAAAAGTACAAATTATCAAATGCCTTGCAGCAGCACCTGACAGAAAGGTCAATGGAGGCGTGCCATAAAACAACAGTCAGATTCATATTGAACAAACACAAACGAACTGAGAGCTTGATAGAATTATTTTTTACTGCACATTTATATTCACAGACCTACAAGCTATTCAGAAAATCCAAGAAAAAAAAATAATCAGATGGAAAGCCGAAACCTCAGCTAACCTCAGAATTCACAAACTATACTAACAAAATTCATATAGCACATGTTGATAAGGGAATAGTTTACAGAACTGGGAGCCTTAAAATTTCCCAGAGCCTCAAAAGATCAATGTCAATGAAACTCAAACTAGATTTTGGTGATCAAAAAGATCTCCAAACTTCATCGACTTTCAGCAATCCTGGCTGTCAAAGCTATCTTAAGTTGCTCTGCCGTGTAAAACCGGCTCCCCATCCTTACTGTACTTAGCTGGATCATCAGGTCATTCACCACTGATACACTGGCATGGATTACTTCCAGGTCTAAATCCTTGAAGGCTCCCATTACTCTGGCAGCTGGGTGGTTGTTTTTATTTGATTGTACTCGAACAACTGCTTCCCAGTTACTCATCGTAATCTCTATATCCATATTCAAGATTCGGCTTCCCTGATTGCTTCCATTCTTGAGGTCCACATGAGCGGGTGTGAAATGCTTGGATTCTTTGCTGGCCAATTCCTTCCTCAAGGACTCCACTTGACTCCTCAAGTCTTCTCTATCAGACTCCACATTATGAAGCTTGGATTTCAACTCATTGATGTAAGAAATTGCATCCCCAAGAAGGGATGCTTTGTCCATCTTCGAAACGTTTGGAACCACAGCTCTGAGAGCATAAAACCTCTGATTCAACTTCTCCCTCCTCTGCCTCTCAGCCTCAACATGATTCAATGGCTCTTCCCTTCCATTTGCAGGCTTCCTACCCCGCTTCCTCGGCTTCTTCTCAGGCTCCACAACTCTACAGCTATCAACCTCCTTCACCACCGACGCCTCTAGATCAGAATGATCCGAATCCCCAGCGCTGGACTTCACAACGCCAGTACTGGGCAAAATCACACCAGAAGTAAAAGACATCATTCCTTCGTCGTTGTTGCTTCCCCTTGACACAGGTGATCTCTTCTTGCTCTTGTTCTCCTCAACAATCCCAAACTGTGATTGACCCGAAAACAAGTTGTCATTCATACCTGAAGAATTCTTCTTCTTAGCACTATCACCCCCAAAACTCAATATTTCACCCGATTCAGGCTTACAACTTCCACCTCTAACACTACTACCCTCAAAGGCATACTCTGAAAAATTCAACTCCCGAGCAAAAAAACCCCCAGGGCCCTGCTGAGATGAATTATTATTCCCATGGATTGAACCAGGATTTTCAGACAAAGTACTACAACTTCGAGTATTATCATTTCCAAACACAACTTGCTTATTACTAACCGATGGAGTTGAAGCTCCATCCGGATTCAAAGAACTGATACCCTCTTTACCAGCCCCAACAGGAGTAGGATTAGGATCGGTCAGCCAGAGTGCCGACGGGTCGCTCTCGGGTTGAACGGGCCAAGAACCCGAGCCCGTACCCATGTCCATGCCATTAAAATTGAAAAACGCCCTAACCTTGTTTATCATGTCAGAGCTCTGAAAGATCAATTCCGTGGACCCCAACTCAACGACGCCGTTTGTTAAGGGTATGCAAACCATAGTATGAATCCCAAACTGCTGAGCCTGCTGGGCCCGTACACAGGGAAAGCTCGCCAGCCGGTCGGCTCCGGTGATCCAAATCGGGTTCGGGCTACACAGAGCCTGACCCAGAAGTCCGCTTCCGCTCATAAACGATTGAGTCATGGAGAGGAGGAAGAACCACTCGGTATCAGTGACCTCCTCATCCACAACGTCCTCGCCGGAGCACTGAGAGCCGGAAACCATGGAATTGAGCTCCCGGAGAACCTTTTTCCGGTGTTCCTGCTCGGCTAACCAAGCCGGAGAAGAAGAGGGGTTCTGCCGTTTCCCTTTATCTTCCTCCCCGGTACAGTACCCGTCACCCCAGGCCAGCATGGTGGGAGCGCCGTATTCGGAAACGGAAGACTGCCAGAAGATGGCGTAAGTCCAGCTATTGGGGGAACCTTCAATCAAGGTCTGAAGGCGCTGCTGGAGGGTTTCAGGGTTGAAAGGCATGGGTGGAGCGGGCGGGTTGTTTTCGACTAATTTGGAGCAAGTAGAGTCCATATTGGTGGTAACGGTGGAAGCAGAGGAGGAAGATGGGAAGTGATTGTAGTGAAGAGTGGATGATGACTGATGAGGCGGCCATAAGGAGGCAGGATTATCCATGAAAGCCTCCATCATTGAGGTAGTATCGTCGGCAGACAAACCAGTAGGGTTGGCCCAAAGATTCATCTTGGTAAAAGGTCTATAATCAGTCATTCCATCCACCGTTAAATAAGGGGATTATCAGTTTCTCTGCTGAAATCAAAAGGGGTAGAAGAGAAACAAAGAGACGAAAATCAGTGGAAGGAGTTGGAGAAGTTGTGAGAGAGATCGGCTTTGTGGTGGGGAGAGAAATGAGGAGAGAAAAAATGGGGAGGAGGATGATGATGATGAGAAGGCGAATGACATTTGGGATTTATTTGAGGTGAATTTGAGTGAAATTTAGGAAAGTATGACAAAATAAGTAAAAGCGGGTTCCACGAAGGCCGCCCCGATGCCGATTTAATCGTCTTCCGTCTTCTTTATTTCTTCTTTACTAGTACTAAAAAAGCCGGCACTTTACACTTCGCTTCTTAATATTTACTGCTTTTGGCCCCCTTTTTTACTCTATTTATTTTGGGAAAACATTGATTATGCGACACTCTTTACTTCTTTACTAGGAGGAGATCGGGGATTAGCGATCTTGCATTGTTATCGAATTCTGACCTACATTAAACCATATCATCTTCTGTTTTTTTTTTTTTGGTAATGCTCGAATTTTTTTCATTTACATTAAAATGTTAGATAATTATGCCTCATTACCTTTTTTAAAAAAATTTGTCACTTTTATTTTTTTCCTCTATTATTCATTCCTAAAGTTAACTTTTATTTGTTTGCTCTTGTTACATTTAGTCCTAAGGTTTTAATTATTTTCAAGCTAACCAACAAGCACCGTAAGCTGGTTTGATTTTGGAGAAAATAAATTACATCATTCAAACTCTTCTCTTTTTTTTTTTTTTTTTTTTGCAATTGCTCTTATTTAAGTGGACCAACTCTTTTTGCATCCTTTATTGTACTTAAAAAAAAATAGACTAACTTACAACATGTTCATTTTACTGTCAAAAGTTTAAATAATTATTTGATTGAAGTGCATAACTTCGACACATTATTCTTATATATATAATATCTTAGTCAAACAAAATTGAGAATCACCAAGATTTTTACTCTCTCCGTCAAGAAATGATAAGATATTTAACAAATTTATGATGAAATATACAAAAAAAAAAAAAGAATCGAGGTTAATTGATACAAAACCAAGCAACCATTTTGGTTAAGATGAGCTATTGGGAAAAAAAAAGTTAAAGAAGATAGTGAGTATCAAACCGTAATTACTCTATGTCGGAAGAACATAATCATATACAAATATTGGTAGGCAAAATGAAACTCTTACAAGGCATTAATTGGAACACTCAGTTCACACGTAATTGGAACCCAATCCTCTAAATTTGGTAGTTAATTATTTTGGGGATATTTCATTGTTTTAATGAGCTACTGATAATTGATATTTTGTCGGTAAAATAAGGGAAGTTTTAAGGTTTGTTACTTTCAGGGTTTATTAAGCTTTGTAATTTTTGATCTCATAAACAGCTTGTCAAACCAGAGAAACAAAAGGAACATTATTAATGAAAAGATCATTAATTAATGATTGTGATAGTATGATTGATCATCAGTCGAAGCTTATTTTCGGAAAAAGTTTTAAAAGGGAATTTTAGAGATAATTGCGCATAGCCATAAAGAATAAAAATTAAAAAAAGCGTTATAAATAAAAAAGTGTCTGTTACAACTAATTAGTAATTGCAACCTTTTCTATATACAGAGAAAATAATTGTTGGAAGTGTACAAGTAGTAGTAAATGATATCCAACTTTCCCAAAATTAACTTATTTATAATGACAGACTGCTTCAGTTTCAATCATGGATTGGGGGAAATTTTGGGTAAAAAAGGAGATTGTTAAAATTAAAATGCCTTCCTCTTTTTTGGTAGTGACAGCCCAAGTTAGACCCACTTTAATTTTCTTTTCCACAATAGGTGAATTATGATTGTACTAATTGACATCAAAATGACAAAATGTGGGAAAAGGATAACATTAAAACTTGTCATAGGCTAATGTAGGCCTTTAAGTCTACCACTCACTTATATACGTCAAGATTCAGAACAAAGTAAAACCTAGGTAAATTTTATCTAGTGCCATGGATCTCTTTCATTTGTTTGTAACTAGTAGCCTATCGAATAGGTTGTCTAGTTTAGATTTTAATTTTAGTTTAAATATATTAAAAGTAAAATTTCAAACTGAACAGAAGAATATTATTAATATTTTATATCTCAAAAAGTTAGTCTAATAATCTTACATACGAATTACAATTATTTTTAAATACAACAAGAAGTATTTTCTATTTTGTTGGGTTCGAATAAAAGTTTATAATGAGTATGACGTATGAGGATTGTATATTTACGTACTACTCTATCCGTCCCAAAATTATTGTCCACTCTAAGATTTGACTTTTAGTATAATTTGAATTAAAAATGAAAATTCAAACTGGACAATAATTATAGGACGGAGGGAATATATTTTTTTAAGTTACTGTATACGACAAATTGGTAAAAGAGTATGCCGTTTCTAGAACATTTGGGCCTCACTTTGATGTTCAACTCAAAACCAGCTAAAATAAATGTAGAATCATATATTCTTATTCTGAAAAGGAAAAAATAATACAAAAGAAAGAGAAAAGAATATGTAGTCATTTAGTTGGGGTATCATAACCTAGGTGTACTAACATAACTTCAAGTTTTTAGCCTCTTATATTATACTAACAAAAAAAAAAAAAGAAAAAAGAAAAGAACTACAAAGCCCCGTTGCATGTATGTATGTGTACAAGAGTCCTTTGTACTTGGTAGCTCTACATATACTTCACCATGTTTTCTCTTCGTTTTTTTTTTTTTTTTAACTAACAAAACAGATCTATCTCATCCTCCATCCGTTTGTCATCCAGAATTTAACTAGTGAAATCAAAGATTGTTATCAACAATAGACATTCAACCGTCTGACCAAAAATAAAATAAAATTCCGTCTTGAAAATGTATATCACATGATAAATATATAAAAAAAAAATTATGTTAATTTCTTATATCTATATTTAAAAAACACTACAATCATTTTAAGACGGACAGAGATGAGATATCTGCTGCATTGGATGTTGAAAAGCACAGTCGAAAAGAACTCTCCACTCGCTCCACTCCACTTCACAATTCCTTCTTAAAACTGTTGAACGCGGTCGGGTCCCAGCAAACGGATGATTGCCCCTACAGATAAAATCCTTTGTGGGCGTGTGGGGTAACAACAACAGTAAAAAACCATACATCAGCTGAAATCATTATTCTAGCTTCCACGAAATACCCGTCAGCCGTAAAAAAGAAAGCGCAATTCCTCGGCAACGGTTTTCAAAAAATCGGCTGCTGAGCGAGCTGAAGAAGCAATGAAACTCTGACGGCATAAGACTAGTCAACCCCCCTCACATGTTTATTTTGAACACCACCAGTACACCAAATATTTTTCTGAATATCGAAAAGTATGGATAATTACCACTAAACCCCTCCCCACGAGCTGATTACGCTCTCTCTTTACACTTTTAACGGTTTTTTTTCGTGAAACTATTTTATTTTAACAAAATAGATTATTATTTCTTTTATGAACAGAACAAGTAGTTACGTTTCACATATACTCATCCTACGTTGGTTTCATTGCGTTAAAATTAATCAGATAATCTTTTTTTCATATTTTCTTCTGGTAGAAGTTATTATTTTCTGCAGTTAAAATATATTCCTCCACACGTATAGCTGAATATTATAACTGGAAGTAGTTATGTACCATAAGTATCAACAACAAGTGTGATATTTCATGGGATTAATTAATGAAGCACAAAGATAATAGGGAGTTTGTGAATATATGTGAAAAAGTAGCATCATAGATTAGAGTATATGTATGCATTTATATTATTATAATTAGTAATATATGTATGGTAGTGGAACTTCTGGTGGGTGGTGACTTTGTTTTTCTATGATACAATAAAATATGCAGAATGATATTGTAATTATTATTGTGTCAAATTTCAGCAGGGGCCATTCAAACTTTTTCTTGATATTTTATATTTTAAAAAAAAATACATTTAAAGAGACAAATGAAACGTCAGTACCAACTGTTATGTTGATCTGATTGAGATTGATATTAGTATTTTATGTTCTGATGACCAGCGTGGAAGAAATGATGGAAAATTTTCATTTTGGCCCTTAAGTTTCAATTTTCCGTGATCTTTGTGCCATAGAAGTTTCATTAGCTTCTAATCAAAATTGATGCTCATCATAAAGACTCCTTCAGTTATCACTCAAAAAATAAATAAATAAATTACCCTCTACTCCTTAAAACTAACATATTGAGTCTCACAAAGAGTTTACTCGTGTTGTTTTTTTTTTTTTTTTTGGTTGCCTCATTAATGGATATAAAACTTTTTAGTCCAATCTTAATTATCATTACATCAAACCTAGCTCATCCATACAACCATATTAGTATTTTTTTTTTTTGGTTTATTCACATTTGAGTTCCTATCCTATCATGGAATCTTTATTCTGAAGATAATACCAAGATCAAGCTATCTCAAAATTAAAGACCTTAAAGTCTGTTGTTATATTAATCTCATTAAAATTAGGAATTAAATTGATGATAAAATGAGCTCAACTTGTGGGAATTGAGCTAGAACACAATTCATCTCTAAATTTACCGCAAGAGGTATTAAAATCACCATAATCATTAGAGTAAACCCTAAATACCCCAATTTGTAATATATATATATATATATAAGCACCAATTTTATTACTTCTTAAAACTCTAGGACCAAAAATTTGTTTTTCAAAACCCTAGGGAGGGTTAAGGCAAAGCCATCTTACCTTGTGATGGATGATAATTATAGGGTCGTTTGGAGTGGGTGCAGATTCCACGGTGGAAAAAGTAATTAAAAAATGAATGAAAGAAAGGAGTAAAATAATATTTAGGCCACGTTTTGGTTAGATGGGTAAGCGTGACAATAACGAGTACTAAAAAAATAATAAATATATTATTTTATGTGTCGGGCCACGTTGAAGATGAACCCTTCAAGCATGTGGAGAAAGAGCGAAAAAAACAGCTCCCCACTTGTCGCTCTCTCATTTGTTTATTTATGGATTCTTCTTTTTTACTTCAAACTAATTCTACTCTTCTACTTCTACGATCCTTCCTTCTTGGCAGTCTAACTGAATGGATTGGTTAACTGAACTTAGACAAAGCTTAAGTATAATCATGATGTCCATGTAATTAGAAGTGC